ATTTAGGGTGATAGGGGCTGCTATTTTAAATTAGGTGACCATGGAATTCATTTTTCCACATGTGTGTGGTCTCACAGGTGTGTGAGCTACAACCAGGCTAGCTTTGCTCAAAGTTACTAAACTAACTCTCTCTCTCTCTCCAATAATTTACCCCTGAACATCTTCTCCCCTCCCCCATCCCACCTGCCCCATCGCCACCCCTGCACGAGCATGTAGATGTTCCTATCACTAAGCTTTGGGCGGCTTTCTCTTTCACCTGCTTTCTTGTCTACCTCCAGTCCCCCAGACCACTTAACATCCTCTGATTCTTTGAAAGTTTTCTATCTTCCTTCTTTTGTTCTGAGATCAGCTGGTGTATTGTCAGCCCTAGGCATTCTCAAATCTACAGGCCTTATCTACTGTCTTTGTTAAGGCCTGTGTTTATCTGCATTGTAGCTAAAATTTCTCATTTGGCCAATCTTCCATATGGTTACAGTGATTTGGGGAAGGCAGAATTCCTTCAATATTGAGAAAGATCTCATGTTCAACTTGATTCTTGAATGGCAATGTCCAAAGTGAGCAATGCAGTCAAAGGGTGATGCTAATTTAGCAGTATTAACTTATTTTAAATGTTGGGTACTGTTTGTTCTTTTATTCATTCATTCAACTACTATTGATTGAGGCCCTCTTACATACCTGACATTATACTAGATATTGGGGCTATAATTCTAAGTAATAACGACTCAGTTTAATAATCAGACATTTATCTAATAATTACACAAATGATGCATAATGACAACTGAGGAAACTAAAGGAAAGAATATAATGTTATAGGAGCACAAAACAAAAGAATTGACTTGGCTTGGTGGGTCAGGGGAGGCTCACGTCTGGAAAGGATGCCTCAGTTGAGATTTGAAAGATGAGTAGGTATTAACTGGAGGAAGGAAAAAGGTGTTTAATAGCATGTGCAAAAGTCCTGGAGAAAATGCTGGGCTGGCTCCAGACCATACAATGCAGAGCCTTGTAGGCTAAAGGAATATTTGATCTTTATCCTTAGACCAGTGGGAAGCCAATGAAGGGTGTGAAGCCAGGACAGAGTATAGTCCAGGTTGATGGTGTGAACTCAAGGTGAAGGGCCATTGGAAGGGGGTTTTCAGTGTGGAAAACCATTCCGTGGATTTTAAAGATGTCTAAATAAGAGATGCTGGTAGCTTAGGCTAGGGTGGTGACAAACTGATGGATTTGAAAGGTATTGATGAAGTCGAATCAGTAGGATTTGGTGATTGTAAGCTGCATGTCAGTCTTTATTTAAGCACTGCCATTTATTCAGTTCATGAGTTTTCTTCTAAAAGATTTCTTTTTTTATAATTTATTATTTCATCCAGAATTTCTATAAAGAAAGATCAGTAAATTTGTTTAAGTTTGTTTTACAAAATGGGGAGCAGTATAGGTTCAAGTGTTTTCAGGAACAGCAAGATACTAATATCTTATTATCATGCTAGTCATTCATGGTTAATTAACAGTTCTGAAATTTTTGAGAATGAAATAGTGGAACATAAGTGGAATCCATTTTTATTACATTTCGGTTATGGAATATGATTTCTTATGAATTGAGTCTAAATGTGTTGCCTTAGAGGACACAAGACAGGACATAAGACTAGGACATAAGACATAGGAACTCAAAAGACAAAGTATAGTCAAGGGTGAATATTTAAGGGTGCTTTTAGTTTTTATGGGCCAAGGTGAGAAAAATGGTGGTCATCATGTGCATCCAAGCACCCAGATACACCATTGGTACATGCAACCAAAATGCAAAAGCAAGAAATGTGAGTTAGGAGTCTGCACCTCAGGGGCTGAGTAGCAAAGACTAAATTGGAAGAAGCCTTATGACCCAAGAAGACGTACATTAAATATATATTGTTCTGATAACTGAGCAGTGTTAACCCTCTGGATCCCATCAGTGTTAGGTAGTGTTAATCTTTATTCTTGGAATAGAAAATCGATTGTGCAATGTGTGTGTGTGCACATAGTAATATCTTTATATACACATCATATCTGTGTTAACAAATAACCAGATTTGTTACACATGGGAAACAATAAATAGAAAAAAATTAAACTATTTATCAAAACCTTTCAAATGCAGAGTCTGCGTGCTCTCAAACCATGGTGATTCTGGAGAGAAAGTGTGCTTTGAGATGAATGGTGGGTTAATTAAAGACAACTGGCAGGTGGTTTGTGAATTGGTGTTTGGTCCATGAAACTTTTGGTATATTTTACTTTCTGATACAAAGGAACCCTTTGCTTACTGGAAGTAAAATAAAAATAGCTCCCAGGTAAACTGGAAAAATTTTTTATGAGTATGTTAGGTAGGGTTCTATCATTTGAAGTTGAACCCTGATTGAAAGCCGCGTCTAGAGCCTGTCTTCTCGGTGGTGTAGCGGAGCTCTCCTGAACTCAGTGTTGCGTCGTGGCCATGCACGCCGTCACACAATGTTAAGGCATTAGGTTGAAGAGAGTGAGTTGGTTGCATAAATTTGATAGGGTAGTTTAATATATTATTTAAATTCATTCCTTTCCCTTATATAATTTGCTATGTTCCACATATTAATGGGCATCTCCACATAAGCTCTAATTTCTGATTTTGACCAGTGTACACAGATTTATTTTAATATTCAGCTGTTATCGATGGTCTCCAAACTCCTCTAGGAGATGACTCATATCTTTTTTAGGATCTATATCCTTTCTGGGTCCCAGTGTGGATCCTAGATCCTCAGAGCTTGGCTCTTATATTCAATAGTTGACAGCTTGTTAGACATGCAGAATCAGCCCCACCCAGGACCTACAGAATCAGAATCTGCATTTCAGCAAGATCCACGGGTGGCAGGATGCACATTCAAGATTGAGAAGCACTTTTATAGATAATAAAGTAGGTGAAAATCAGTCAAGTCTCTAGAAGCAGCGTGTGGCTTAGGACTTTAGATTCCAATAATTAGGTTTAATGATCAGTTCCTGAAAATATGTATAATATGCCCTCTGTGAGTAAAAAGTGACTTTATCTCTCATTTTCCTCATCTATATGTGTGTGAATAATCTTTATATCACAGGGATATAGTGAGGATTAGATAAGTTAATGGCCAGGATGGGCACGCGCTATATTGTGGTAAATACGGTGAGCCTTCTCTTCTTTCTGGGCTTGCTGAGTAGCACCTGTCCCATATACCTGTGGTTTGATTTCACTACCTACCCTCGTATCTTGCTGTCTTCTCTTATTTTCATTCCTGAATTGTTCTCATTCCCAAACTGTCTTTAGTTAGTACATTAAAATAATTTTTTACTAGATTGTATTTAGATAGCCTCCAGCATCCAGAAGAGTCTGTCTTATCCAAGAGTGTCATTTGCATATTAGAGTTAGTTCCATAGGGTAAGTGAGACAGGATTGTGAAAGACCCTGGGGATTTGGTAAGGCATTGAGCACATCAGCACAAGTCACAGTTCTTTTATGGAACACAGTATCACATATTAGGGATACAGCATTTCTTTGATCTTGCAGATTAAATAATCTCCAAAAGTAATTCATGATTTTTTAGTATAGCCAGGCTTAACATGAAATTATATTCAGATA